TATTAATAATTAATTATATATTAATAATTAATTTAGGCCATGATTTTCCTTTCTGAATTCAAAAATATGGATTTCCAAAATTGTGTCAGACATGAATTCTAGTCAAGTAGCTGTGAATGTATCATGTGAGCTAAACAGGGCTAATGTCAGAGAAAATTAAAATAATTTTTAGAGCTATAGTGTTAAAAAACAACAAATTATCTAAATTGGAAGTAACATATGCTTAGCATTTTGGCACTTTTAAGTTCACAAACCTCCATTGCTTTTGCTGAGTATTCAACTTCACATGATACCAGGTGTTAATCTCCATAGAGCTCTTGGTACAGAACAAAACTGATATGTAATAGTGATAAATCCACCTTTTGTTATATTTAAATTTTAGCACAATATTGCATATGCAAATATTTTTTACATATGTGGGTTTATCACACTTCTCACAAGACAGTACTGAATGCATTTAGCATTCTTTAGCTTAGCAAATATGATGAGTTTTTAATCTTTACTACTCAACATTCTACATGTTTTACCTCATACAGTAACAAGATGTTCTTAACTAGTTGCTATTTGTATTGATATTTGTAATACACACAAGTAGTTTAGTATGTTAACAGGTGTTCACTTAAGAGGGCTCACTTGTATTTTACCATATGTTTTGTTTGCTGCAAAGAAAAGACATCCTTCAAACAGTATCATGCCTTTTGTTTGTCATTTTGCAAAACAATGTTTGTTTAATTACTTATAAATCTTTAAAAGCATGCTAAAATTGAATAAACTCAAATCTATAACTTTGAATGTCAGTTTGGGTATGTCTTTTTTATTTATGAATTAACTTGTAGGAAGTATGGTAATTTACAGCAGATGATGTGATTGCATATACTTGTAACACTTGCCATATGGCCAGGCAATGAAGGCTGTCATCTCGTTATTACTGAATGACAAACATCATGTTAAAATAATAACACACAGAATAGGAAGTGCTCACATTCATTTATCTTAAGGTAGCATGAGTAATTGAAATAATATGAATGCTACCATCTGAAATGTCACACAGTTCATGCTTGCTTATCATCTATATTTCAGAACTGTAATTTTGTTTGCCCGGTACTACATAATTTTTGTCTCTATGGATATACAGAGTTATGATGGTACCTTAGGGATAGGTGTAGAAGCTATTCATTGTTTGTTTCCTTCCAGCTGTCATATATGACTTCAAGTGCTAGTGAGTGCAAAAGGTTGCTTTAAAGAACTGGGGAAATAATAGCAGAATCTCGGTTTAGGAAGGTGGTTGGAGAAGGGTACTGGTCTTACTCCTTATCATTGGGGAGACAAGTACAAACTGTGATTTTAATCATAAACCTTGATTTCGTCAAAGCATTTGGAAAAATCCCTTTTATTTCTATTTTTATCCAATAACTTTATGTAGCCATGAGGCAATCTTTCTTCACTGTGGGAGTGCTATGAATTTCCATAAAGGAAGGTAGCAATGGACAGGCATGCATATTAAAGGTTTGGTATCAAACTCAGAAATTAAATATCAAATTCACAAATGTATATGAAATTTGAGCAGCTCTTGCCCTAATTTACTCTGTATGTTAAGACCTCTCATTTATTTCAATCAAATCTGTAGTACCCACTTTGTAAATCATTCCATAAGTCTTAAAATAATTTAAATGCATTGGCAAAATGTCCTTGCAAAAACTTACAGCATTTATTCAGAAACACTATGGTTTCAATATTTTCAACGTCTAAGCAAGTTTTGACATTTCATATTGCTACAAAGTGATGGAATTGGCCAGTGTTCTACAAGGTGAGTAGCTGAAGTTGACCATTCTACTACAGCTCCTTGAAAAATAGTCTTTTCTACACATGTCCAGAAGAATCTAGAGCACCTGGCACTTCCCCTAGTGAAAGAGTGAGGATGGAGCTTGTACAAAACCAACCAAAAATATTTCTCCAAAATGACTACATGGTAACTGAGCACAAAATAAATTCCAATGCCCTTTGCAAGCTACTGGGGAAATCTCACAGACTAGATGTTCATTTTGGTATCTGCTAAAATTAAAATTGTCCCTTATTTCTGGAAAGTATGGGGTTCGGTTGTAACTTCAAGCAAATCCCAGAAGAACATTGAGAATCAGTTTATTGTTAATGGCCTTGAGTATGTGCAAACCGCAAAGGAGTTTACAAACAGTGCATATGCATCCTGTATAGGTAGAATATGCTTCTTCAAACTATATATGAGAACCTTGTAAAGTGGCTTCACTGGAATAGCATAGATTTTCCCTTTCTGTGAATAAAAAACATGTTTCAGACTTCATATTCTTTAGGTGCTGAGCTTCTGATATCTCTTGCTATGATTTGTTTGGAGTTTTTTTGGAAGACAGAATTAATATTTTATTTGTATATTTATGACACTTGAAATAACTTGTTGATTTAGATAGCTAGTGCAAATTTGTCTGTATTTCAAAATAGTTTTCGTTATGAAAATGTTTTTTTTCTAAATTCAGTTACTATGTATAACCAAATCAGGAATGAGCTCAAGATGCAGGAAGGTTTATTAGCGTACTTAAACTTGTGTGTCACTTTGCCTGGAATTTTAACTTCTTTTACTATCTGCCCTTTGTTCAGCAGCTGTATTATTGGAGCTAAAATGTTTTCATCTGCACTACGTTAGATTTATTTTTAAATAAGGACTATAGATTGCTTTTGTCTTTGTGCTTAATGTAATATTATTGTCATGTAATAAATACATTTTAAAACAGGGTTTTTTCCACTGGATAGGCTGAAGTATTATGAATGCTAAACTTGCTTTTGTTAGGTACAACAACTAGAAAGAAGATTCAAAGCTATTGAAGGGGAATTAAAGAAACAAAAAGAAGTAAATGAAGACTTATTGAAAGAGAAAAATGATTTGAAAGCATCTTTAAAAGTGCAAAAGGAAGATGCAGACACAAGAGAAAGAGACCTGGAAATGCTGCTTAAGAGGATTTGTGAAACAGAAAAAGACAAAGCATATCTTCAGTTAGTGATTGCTGAGCAGGAAAAAGAAGCTGCCTCTTTGAAGAGGCAAGTGGCAGAAGCTAACAGGTTGAGAAATGAAAATGAAGATTTGCTGAGTCAAGCACAGGAGCTGAAGTGTTTACTGGACGAAGCCAAAGCAGTGGCAACCTCTGGGCAATGTAATTGTAAGACAGCAGGCACCAAGGTTAAATTAAAAACAGCCAAGAAAAAGAGCTCTTTGGGAGATCATGGAGCTTTTCTCAAACAGTCCATCAAGGTTATGAGTAATGTATTTGAGAACTTCAGTAAGGACGGCTGGGAGGATGTGAGTGAAAGCAGGTACGGCACTCATTAACTTAACCCTGTAGAGGGGACACTGTGCGTATGTAAAGCACTAGCAAATGGAGATTGAATTTCAACTACTGTTGATTTGGTATTCAAAAAAAATTCTGTCAGATCCTTTGAAATATCTTGGGAGGTCTTGTTCTGAGCTTATTGACTGAAATTTGCATGCAAAATTAGCCACAACTGCATGAGTATTTGAATAGGTGCCAGGAAACCCAAAAGAAGGCAATGCTTGATTTCTTCCAGTGATGCTATTTTCATGCAGTCATGAGGCTTGAAATTGACAGTTTGGCAGGTTGATTTAATTTGCTGGCCCTTTGCATATTCACCGCTGACAGCTAAGGATTCCCAGGCAAGCCTGCTAAGTCAGTTTAGTTATCTTGTGACATGCCGACCCGGGAGGAGAAACATTTTTTCCCCTTAATTTAGTTAGATAAATTTTGAATGACCCATTTCAGCTTGCTAGCAGATGTCTACAAGCTGTTTAACATCCTTTAAATTAAGAACCATCCACACTAATTATTGCATGTATGTTTTATGTACAGTCATTGTACTAACTTTAATTGAATGATGGTTAAAAATCAGTTCTTTAAAGGTAATTGTTACTGAATAGAGTCCCAGTCATGAGTCACAAGGCCCTCAGAAAATTGCACTGACAGTCTTCAGAAATGTTTGGAATTTTTGATTCTGCTTTTATTTGTCCACACATACTTAAGGAGGCAGCAGTAAAGCACTAAGTAAATGGGTATCACACCTTGTCTTTCAGGACTTTGTCCTGAGAGACATGCAAAGAAATTTCTCAATTCTTCTCTGTATTTACTCAAAATACAGAGAAGGTGACAAAAATGTAAAGAAAACAGAATCATCTTCGTAGGCTTTATGTTGGCTTTATATGTCATATGGAAAAAATCAACAGTAGCAAATGAAGCCCTTCTTCTGCTTCTCTGCATGCAAAATAGGGGGCTCCTGAACACAATTTCTTGAGAGAGAAAACAAACTAAGAACCATGTGATTTATCACTTGCTATCATTAATAGAAAGCTTGCTTGTTTTCCTGTTTAGTTTAATATTGCAGATCTGATTTTACAGAAAACATGTTTTTCTGTTGCAATTAGTGAACTTCTTACTGAATTTACTATGTTTTGCTTTTTAAGAGCAAATGTAATTGCAGTTTGAGTTTGAAGTGAAGTGGAAAGTAATTGTGTGGCTTCAGTTGTTGTGGCTGTCCATAAATACTACTTGTGGTAATTGTACAAGTATCAGGTTAGGAAATTCTTGTAGAATAGTGAACATTTTTGAAGGTAGTGTTTCAAGGTGTAATTCTCAACAAATTAGGGAAATATCTTCATATAGTTCCCTCTTCTACTTGCTAATAAATACTGTTCTTTGTTACTAGTGGCTGTTCTAGATTCAAGCCTTCCATTTTCTACATAGAATATTCCTTGAAAGCATTCAGGTGAGGGAAATGTGTATGTAGTTAGAAATACCTGTGTGCTACTGCAGCACCTTCAAACTATTACATTGATTTCTGTTCTTATCGGTCAATAAGACGTACCAGTGTGTCAGGACGGGGTTTGGAAGGTATAAACGTGTTTCCGCTTATTCTCTTCAATTTGAGGCCTTTTCTCTGGTTAAGTAGCTTCTGTCTGTAACCCATTGATTCTTCTAACAGCACATCTTAATTTGAACTCAGTTTTGCCTTTTTAAATGTCTTTGTTTAAAAAGTAACAAATCAAAATTACCTTCTGTCAAGGGATACCTTCACAAATCTGTTTGCACAAATGGTGATGAAAGCCACTAATGGTATAGAAAATGATATATCCGAGACTTCATGTTTTAAAATAGACTTGACTGAATATCAGAAAACAAATTATAATCTGGGGCAAGGCAGTGAAAAACTGGAAATTAAGAGCACATTGAGTGCAATTTTAAGGAAAAATCTGAAGTAGAATTAAAATTTCAGGTCCGGTGCCTCTGCATGGCAAGCAATTTCAGTAGAAGGACTACTAATCTTACAGATTTTAGAAGCACTCCAGTGAGGTGCTGGGCAGATTCCACTGAAGTGTCCTTTCTGAGATTGTCTCAGTCAACACTACAAATAAAGTTCAACTGAAACAAATATTATTGAGTGAAATATTGTGCATTTGTTTGCTTCATTATCAAATGTGAAAATGAAGGAAAGTAGAAACGTAGTGCATCTTTGTGAGACATTTACAGACTAGATGTACTATCGAGTTGTTTTTAATGTGTGTAACTTTTGTAAGCTGTAACAAAAGCTGTCCTTTAAGAAACAGTTGAAGTCTCGGGCCTCTGTGCATTGCAGAGTGAGATAGAAGACAATTTCAGAGATTTTTCTTTACCGTATTTGTAAGCATCTGTTGAATAATTTAGTACTGTTTGGATTTTATATTAGTTTTTCTTCTTTCTTGCATGTGTTATTTTCTATGTGCTGAAGCACTGGCTGCTTGGAACTTTTAACGTTTAGCTTTATTTTGTTTTGTTTTCCTGAATGTGCTATTTTAGTGACTCTGAAATACCAACTTGTGATAGTTTGGAAACAGTGATTATGAAGACAGTGCAAAACATTGATCCACTGCCAGAAAGAAGTAAACAACAGGGAAAGAAGCAAATACAAGACAGTCAAAAGCCCTGCAACATTGTTCATTTAGAAGGCAAAAACCAGCAATATAATAAAAAGGTATATAGTATAACTTGTTTTGTTCTCCTATGCAGAGTGTTGAAGTTTAATAGTATTATCGCTCCTGTTCCCCTCTTAATTAATTGGACTCTTGTTGTAAACTGAAAAGAAAATTTGCTTCCAGATATTCAATGGGTAGTTTCATTATAATTTGGAATATTTTCTGAAAAATTAGTCTGCAAATATGTGGAGGGAGTGTCGGGACTGCAAAAGCTGATTAAAAAATGTAATATTTGCTTTAAGCTAGTCCTGCTGTCTCACAATCCAGACAAAGAATGCTGCAGACATCATACTAGCTCTCTCTCAATCAGAATAGTCATACAGAACAGAGTGACCTAACCCGTAACAAGGAAACAGAAACACCCCTCTCCTCCCCTCTAGCGAAATAGTGTGCTGACTAATCAAGCATGAACACCTCTCAGTTTCTTTGTTGACTCCATCTTAGAAAGATGCTTTTGGTTCTATCTCTGTCCAGGAGATTCTATCTAAAGTGTGCTTTTAGCTTCTTCTTAGCCCATTTACATTCATTGTCTGGGATTTCCACCCCTTGTCTCATTCCTAACATCTATATGCTGTTTTCTCACAGAAGAGGGCCAGATGGCTGTTTTCCAGGTCTTTAGAGGCTCCATACAATCTGTAACAGATGACTCATTTTTGGACTTTTGAACAGTGTCTTATACTTTTTCCCTCCTTTGTTTGCCCAAATAAATCACTTCACTTCATGGAATTTAAAAAATAAGCAGATATTGTTGTTTCTCAGTTCAAGAAACAGGATACTGCTGCTGTTAGAAAACTAGTTTGAAATTCTGTTATGTATGGTGATGTAATAGAGTTTGAAAACAGATTGTATTTTCTTAGTCTCCAAAATTTTAAAGCAAATACAAACTCTCTGGTCTTGTTGTATATTCTTGTTTGTGTGTTTCCATCAAAAGATCTATTTTTCTGTCAGAAAAGCTGAAAAAAGGGAAATTCTTCTGCAACCATCTGTTGGTATACAATACACAGTGTGTGCGGGTGCATGTGATACATGTGAAAATCTGACAAGAGTGTGCCACTCCTCTTATCTCCTACTACTCCTAAGTGAGGATATACAAGGCAGGGAATCCAGGAGGTTCTGCTCTGTCTTGCTTGGTAGTGTAGACACAGCCAGTACCTTTCCTATTTGCCTGTATTGTATTTACTCTCTGTTCCTACTGGAAAAGACAAACACAGATATATTCTGATACTCGTATGTAACAGACTGGTGGACTTGGAGCATATGCAGGAAGCATCCCAAGAGCCCTAAGGAGGTAAATACACTTCAGCAGAAGTCCACTGTTGCAGGAAAAGCTCCTGAAAAAAATGGTTTGTGAGTACAGAAGATTGCAGTGAAAAAAGGTTTAGTACTGACAATTGGAAACACCAATTTCAACAAAAGTTTTAAATCCCTGCTAAAGATTGAAGGACACTCTAGCTGGGTCATGGTATTCTCATAGAAAGAGATGCTAGAGAAATCTCCCATGTCCTGAGCTATACCTGGGCTTGGAGATGGGATAATTTACGACACAAGGACTTTCTCAGTTTTACCCCACGTGGTATCAATATATAATACCCTGTGCAGTATCAGGAGAGTTATTGGCAGTCTCTTACAACTCATACATTTATGAGAGCTGTGGCCTAGAGTGGAGATCTCCATCTTTTTGCTGCAGGCATGGATTGTTTGCTCATCATCTGCTAGAACTCAGGTCACCGTTACATACAATCACCCCTTCAAACTGCTATCAGTCATACAATTACATGCCTTCAGTGTTTGTAGGATCCTCTGGTCATTGTGATAGGGACTTAGTACTCGTTTCCATTGTTGGTTGGCACTTATATTTCTTTTCTTTTTCTAGCATATCCTATACTCCTGTCCTTCAAATTGTGTGGTGATTGTACAAATCCAGAATTCATGGCTAAGCTATCCTATAATGTCAGGAATTTGTTCAGTACAATTAATAGATAATCCGTTGCTGTTCACTTTTTTAAATTTGATGAGCAGCTACTTTAGTTATGAATACTTCCAGAAATATGTTGTATGTTATCACATAGAAATTGCAAACTGAAGCCTTTAAAATTGGTTACATGTTGCAAAATTCCAGAACAATAATGTTTCAGAATACACTGAGCATCTGAAAGCCAGGGAAATAATACTTTGATTTTGGAGTAAGCCATGCTCTTGCCATTTTCATTTTACATATTGCAAGCACCATTCCTCTTTGGCCTCTGCTTCTGTCATTGAACATTTGATAGGTTCTGGAAGTAGCTCATTTTTCAGGTCACATATTTAAAAGGCAAGCAGCTGACTTTTGTTAAACCCTTTGCAAACACAAGGATTGTGTTTGCATGTTCATATACATTCATGCACCTTCCAGTTGCAGCTCAGTGTCTAATCTGATCTTCCCCCTTTTGAACTAATAAGACCACTATTCCTTTTTATGTTCACTTAAATATCTTGAGAAATGGGATGTTGTAGGCTTTCAAGTAATACATACCATCTTTTTTCCCTATGAGTAAATTCATATTTTATCTAAAATATAACGTAGGCATTAACAGACAATTCATTTTTCTCTGGGATTCTTTGGAAAGGGTTATGATTTACCTATAACAGTTTGTTATTTCTTTGACATTTGATGGGAAAGACAAATTTGTACTCTTTGCTGGCTGATGTTGTAAGACTGATTTTCAAATTAAAATTTGTTAGAATTTTGTTTATTATTTGGAGTAATTTTTGTTGTTTCCATTCAAACTGAAAAACTTTGGAGTAATGTGGTTGGTGTGCCGTAATGAAGAGTTGCTAGCTTTGTGCTTCTGGTTTTTGCTTAGGGCCATTCACAGAATAAAGACCTAGCAAAGTTACATTCCAAGAGAAGGAAGATCTGCAGTCTCGTAACATCTTATCTAAGCACAGGTACGAATATTATGTATTTTTGTCAACTTCATAAGTAAGATTGACAAAACATTCCTGCCTGATATTCCGAAACCTCTTCTGAATTACACAAACCAACTTATATGCTGTTGCAGGATTTACTGGTTTAAATTTACATGACTATATATCTTCAAAGATTTAGCTCATTATTCTAAAATGAAATTGTTGTATAAAAAGTGACTGTGAAACAGCATTTTTTTGCATAGTTAAAATATGCTCTGTTTTTACTAAGTCACACCTATTGAAGCTACTGACTAAAATAAAGCTTTTTGATACCTTTTCTTCATGTTTTCCCCTTGTAGCTAACATAGACAATGAAACAAAATTAACTGTATTTTGGCTTAGACCTTAAAAAAAAAATCTGTTAACAAGACACTGAATCCTTTATTTCCAGTAACACCAATCAGAAACTTGAGCCGCATTTAACTTCCAAGTCCTTGTTGAGTGTTGGCACTTCAGAAAAAGAGCAACCTAGAGTGCTTATAGGTTAATTGAGTTGATTTAACAGTTTGCTTGCTGAGGAATATTTTAGGGGCTAGAGCAGTGTTTTGAAGAGGCAAAGAAAAATCTGAAATCATCTTATTTGTGATGATCTGTCAGTTTAGTAATGTGCCTTTTTATGTTTAGTGAACAGATCAAAAAGGAGAAATATCATTGTCCAGAAACCAAGCTACTCTGTTACTCTGCTTCAGGAAAGAATTAAGTCCTTGCAGCAGCAGATAGCTGTTTTACAGAATGAAAAAAAGACAGCAGTGTCTTCTGTGAAAGAATTTAAAGAAACCAATGAAAAACTAACAACTCAGCTACATTTGTCTGATCAGAGACTTCAAACTAGTAAACTGGCTATAGAGGTAAAGTACTTTTCATTGTGATGTCTTACAATGTTCAGCTTAATTCTGTTGTAATTCTCTCAAATTTTGATAACACTGATTTTTGTCTCTTATGATCAAAATGATGATGTTATGTATTAGCATGCTTTGTATGAGATTCTGAATCAGTTAGTACATACAAAAGATATTGAGTCCTGATTTACTATTGTATCAACCCAATTCATTAATCCTTCTGAAAAATAAGTTGTCTTCATGCTGACATTTTACCTGCATTGAAATGGGTGAGGGAAGTTTCACTTTTAGCCAGTGATCTGAGAACTTTGTGAAGAAACTGGTCAGTTCACATGAACTGGCACCCATTCCTCTGTGAAGAACAGGCACTTTGGAGAACCCAACTGTCTCAATATGCCCCAAGAGTGGAGCGCTCAAGGCAACTGGAGTTTTCTTCCAAAGGCCACTCAGACTGGTTCCGTATCTATTTAATCTCATCTCTCTCTGTCAAGGTAGAAAGCTAGAGAACAATATTTATGGAAACAGAGACTAGTAAACTATTTGGCTAACAGCCCCAAAGATACTAGCTTTCTTCTCTACTTCGGTCTTCATTCCTACTTAATCCTTTCCCGTACTATTACTCCTTTCTGGTTTTCCCCATTCTTATTTATACATATATGTATTTTGTTTTAATCTATATGCAGCTCCTCAGCTGGAATTCTTTTCTATTCATACTGTAGTGGTTGGCCTGCCCTTTATAGAGCTGAATCAACAAACACTTTTGCAGTAATTGTCTCCTGTTGGTCACACAGACATCCTGCTTCCAGAATTATTGTGCTACAACAGATGGACTTGCTGGAAGGAGGCAGGCATTAAAAAAGAAATCAAATCCCCTCCCCCTCAAAATTCTCTGCATTCCTGTCTTTGCGCAGAAGGCAGAAGCAGTATCAGGAGCAGCACTTTTCACTTTCTTAGGGCTGGGGAACTGCTAATTTCTAGAGAAGGGAAAACTGCGTTTCTGTTACTCATTTTGCATAACTATATGTATGTAATGAATTGTTCAGAAAGAGTTTCCAAGGTCATTGTAACCAATGGAGATCTACCTATCTCAAACACTGTCATAATGTAAAGTTTCATGGACAGTATAAACTTTACAGAGAGTTGTATGTGTAATTTAGGTAAAATCTTCTGCTTGTTCAGACATCTTCATGCTTTGCCTTCCTAGAAGACTA